ACCACTGTGCGCGATCTCCCTCTCTCTCTCTCTCTTTCTCTCGTTTTTTTTTTCTTTTTCCGGGTCGCGTTATCTACGATCTAAGCAAATCTTCCAGGTCATTCCACGGCGGACCGTGTCGCCCGCGTATCGATTATTTCTGCGGTCCCCACCTCGTCTCGATATCTGACAATCGAGGCGAGGCGTTTTGCGTTTGCGGAGCGCCCGGTATCTGCCGCTGGTGGTTGGATATACGTCGCCGTCGCCGTCGACGGCGTCGGCACGCGGAGGACGTGTGTGTAGGGTGGCGAGGGGGGAACAAGGGTTGACGGGGGGCAGCCGGGGCGAGGAATAGATAAGCAAATAAATAAACTAGCGAAGCAAGGCGAGTCAAGGCGAGCGCGCGAGACGGAGAAAGAGAGAGAAAGACGGAGAGAGTAGGGCCGGTGATTCTCGGGCGAACGCTCGTCGGCGGGGTCGACGGCCTGACACGGATGGTTGACGCCGTGGGGCCCGCCTCGTAACCGGCCTGGGAAGAAGAAGAAGAAGAACGAGAAAAGGTAGATAAAGAGAGGAAAGAAAAGGGCCCACCGCCGTGGAAGGCGCGCGTTTTCGCCCTCCGCGAAGACGATCGAGCACCTCCCCAGCTCGACGATCGGCTCGTGTTATTTAGGTCTCTGGTCCCTCCCTGGATTATAGATGAAGACCGGGATGCTATTAGAAAGAGGGCGAGAGAAAGAGGGGGAGAGAGAAGCCGAGGTAGAGGGACAAAATGAAGCTAGATCGTGTTCTAAATTTAAACGAACGGCGCGAGCAAGCGCGCTCTTTGATCGATTCAAAGTGGATTTTCGGTGACATCGATAGCTCTTATCACCTTAGCTGTCTCCATTGAGTATAGCACACGGGAGGGGGGGATGTCGCCGAACACACTACTACTACTATACTACTACAATGTCCTCGTCTCGACGGTTTCGTCCCCTTCCCCTTCTTCTACCTCCCGTAAAAGAGTGATCGATGGGCGACAGAGAAGGAGGGAAGGAAGGTGGCACGAAATTGGGGCGTTGCGTATTTATCGCTCCTATCTTGACGCTATTTACCGTACTTGCGGCTTTTCGCCGCCGGCTCGTTTTATGGTTCGACCGTTTTATTCTCCTCCCTCCTTCGCTCTTTCTCTTTCTCTCTCTCTCTTTCTTTCTTTTCTCTCTCTCTCTCTCTCTCTCTCTCTCTCTCTCTCTCTCTCTCTCTCTTTCTCGCTGCCTCTCAAGCGTTATACTTGTATACAACGCGACCGGATATTTTTTTATTAGATTCCTTTTGTTTGCTGCCGGTTGATCTGCCGCGGCTTCCTCGGGTGGCGATTTCATTCCGCTTTTGTGGCTGCGCCCTATCCGCCCTCTCCCGTTATCGAATCTTGTCGGACTTAATTAGTATTCCCACGAGACATTTCATATTTATTCGTTGATTAACATTCCGCGCTCTCACTCGTTACACCGTAAACTACTTTTCGTCCTCCGGAGAAACTCCCGTCGGAAGTATGATGTACAAGTTTCCTATTTGCCGTAAATTTCATCTCTTTTATTAATTGCGCCGTGCAACTTTTCCTCACGTTTTTTTTCTCTTTCTCTCCCTCTCTCTCCTTTTATTCGACGCATATTTAATTGCGCACTCACTCGGTGGCTCGAGGCGGGGCGGCGTTCACTCCTCCGGAGCTTGAATATAAACGTCTCTCCCTCCCCCGCACGCCTGTGTGGAAAAATTCGACGCCGGAATACCGCGCCTCGTTTCGCCGTCATTCTCGTTGCGCGTCGTCCCCCTACAAATGCGAAGTGCTTCATTACGGCGGACCGGGCAATCATAAAAGCCGAATGCTCGATGAAGTGATAAAACTTAATTCGCCTGCACACGGCCGTTATACAAACAACGGCTCTTCTCGCACGGCCGTGCCCGCGTGTTTTTCGCGAGACGGCCGACTCGCGGGGGGTTTTTACGATTTTTGCGGGGTTTTACGGTTTATTTTTATCGGCGGCGTTACCGGCTCGCGCGACGACGACGACAAAAATTACGGCGACGGTTCTGTGTACAACGCGAAAAGAAAGCCGCCGTCCTCTCCTCTACGTCGCGTAAAACAGAAGAAGAACGCGCTTTTTACGGCCGACTTTTATGAAACTCTCGCCGAAATCATCGTTCCCGGCCTCGCCGATAATCGCGGTTGCGAACAGTTGCGAAAACATCACCGCGGTATCGGGATTAACTTTGCGCGCGCGCGAAGGGGAGAGAGAAAGAGAGAGCTAATTATCGATCCGTCGCCTCGTTATATCACTTCTCACGCGACAGACCATCGTCTGAATTATTATTGCGTATCGTTTAAGGACTCGGGACCTGGCGTGTTTCTCCTTGTCGAACACAGCTGTCGCAAATAATCGTAAAGGTGAATTCAACAAGCCGTGCATAACGTCGCCGCCGCCCGTCGTCATTCATCACGGCATGATTTGCAGCGCGTAGCAATAACACACGCCGGTTATTCGCGTCATCATCTGGCCCTGTTAAGCGATAAGATATCCCCGGGGAGATTAATGACATGGATATAATCCAGAATATATGGATGAGTTTAGTGACGTACGGGGTTTCCGTTTCTTTTTTTCTCTCTGTCATTACGCACGACAAGTGTTCGTGTATGACGGGGAGAACTCGGCTTTTCCTTAATTAATACGTCGAGCGCGGTTTTCCGGTTGCGAACGATCGAAAGTCACCGGATACGCTTTGAATAGCAAAATTTCGTTGACGTAAACGCGCGCAACTGCACTTTATTAAAATATTAATGCAGGAGATCACAAAGTAGCACAAGTGTAACCGATATCTTCCATTCTTTCCCTCCTCTCGAATTGTCCTCGAGGGAGGATCGATTTCAAAATTCCGTCAAAGAGATCACTCGTTAGACTTCAGATCGGGAATCACGGCGCGCCTTTCGTCTACTTCAAAGCGTATCTCTCTGTATTCTTTGATATATCTTCACCGGCGAAGATATCTCTTCGAGACGGAAGGATAATACGCGACGGAAAATCGCGCCGCGCACATCCTGCTGCCGATCGAGGAAGCCGGGAAACCTGTTGCGACGGCTGCTTTTGTACAAAGCTCTTCGGGGCCGCCTTTCGGCGGAAGTGCAATGGTAACGACAGCCGAGAGGTCGACAGGAATAAAAAGGAAAGAGAGAAAGAGAGAGAAAGAAGGAAAAGGTGGTTGAAGTGAACTCGATCGTCTTTCGAACCGGAAATGAGGCGATTAGGGCCGCGCGTATTTATTTCGCGGGAACCGCGAGTCTCGCGTTCGTCCACGGAACGGAAATACGCGCTTTCTCGCCGGCCTGGCCGGTTCGCCCCTCGGCGCGCGACCCTCCATTGAATTTCATATCTCTAAACGGAGAACGGTATTTTTTTAATCGCTTTCAACCCCCCTGGTCTGCCTCGAGCAGGTACTCTACTTGGAACATCTGTTGCTCAACCTGTATCGCGGCTGCAAGGCTTCTTGCGTTGCTACCAATCCCTTTGCAACTTTTTCTGCCGCGAAGAAGAGATGGGAATAGGCTGAAGAAGAAAACCGGAGCAGGCTCGTGTGTGTGTGTGTGAGAGAGAGAGAGAGCCCGGTTCGCGTTTTAGCGTGCGAGCGCGTCTCGAACGGGTCGCAATTACGCGCTACGCGTCTCGAGAGGTAGCTAACAATAATCTCCGCCGTTGTAACGAAGAAAATCCCCCTCCTCCCCAGGGGGAGCGGGTAGCAAATGGAAAGCGTCTCGGGTCACCGTTCCTGTTCCTCAATTTTGCATTGCAGCCTTGTTAACGTCGTCGTCGCGAGCGAAATCGCGTCGCCTCCTCTTCCACGAGGAGGATTTTGAAAGGAAGTTCTCATCGCCGGGAACGGCGTCGCGTAAGCGCACGCATGAACGCACGGTGGGAGACGGTTTCAACGGCGACTCTCCTCGCCGTATACTCCCGGCGAAATTATAATATTCCTCGATATTGATCGACCATGTGTGCGATTTGCATCGCGAAAAAAAGGAGAGGGACAGGACGCGTTTCGCGAACGGGCATAAAAATAGCGGACGACGATCTGCTTATGAAAGCGCGCGCGCGATTAACCTCGTAAACTTTAGACTTCGGCCCGCGCGCAGCCTTGATCTTCGTAGCGTGTGTGGGACGCGCGTGTCTCCGTCGTCGTCGTCGTCGTCGTCGTCGTCGTCGTCGTCGTCAACGAGTGCGTTTCTCGCTTTTTGCGTAATGCGAACACGCGCGTGCGAACGCGAAGAGAGAAACGTGAGAGAGAGGGAGAGAGAGAGAACAAAAGTATCATTTACTGCTTTCCGAGACAATAAAGCGTACAAAAGCATTTTATCGGATAGCGCAAATTACATAAATAAAGCTATTAATTGAAAAAGAGAGCGAGAGAGACAAAGAGCCCGTCGTCGATGTCTCTGCATCTCCTCCGCAGTCATGATGACCCGCGCACGACGCCACCACGTGCCGGTCGCGGTGACGTCACTTCCGGTACGTGATTTCCTGGTACCGGACGGCCGTTGGCGGATGAGAGGAGTTAAGTGCCGGACACGGGAGTTCGTGCCTCCTCTGCGTGAGCGTCTCTCGCGTCTTCCGGAGCGGAAAGGATAATGAACGTAGCGCGAATGCGCGTTCGCGAGAGGGACGCAGCGCGGAGGAACGTCGCGCGTCTTAACGTCGAATTTCTCTCGCGGCCTCGCCGCCGGATCTCGAGAACGGCGCGTGACAGTGCAGTCCACTTTCCGCGCCCGCCGATAAACCGGGGAATTTTAACGAATTTTATCGGAGTTTTCTGTTTCGCCGCGATTTCAAAATCGTCCGGAAGCGAGAGTTTTCTTGCTTTCGCAGTCGCTTGAGACTCTGAACGACCTCGGCTTGGCACCACCAAGTTAACGCCAATGTTATCGGGGTGCACGAAGCAGCACGCGTGGCATCTCTTTTTTTTTAACACATTTTTTTGGATTTTCTTTTTAGCGAGTGCGTTGTCGGCGCGCTAGCAAACCATCAGAGTCGATTGCATCCGGCCGGTGGGGTCTGAAACGATCCGCCTTTCGGTTGCAGCGTGTGGCGAACCAGGCGCTTACCGTTTCGCCACAGCCGGCAGTAACGGTGGAGGGGCCGGTGTCCAAAATGTCTCCACCGACGAACGACGTGACCAACGGTGTGGTAGCGCCACCCAGCACCTTGGCGCCCCGGGTTCCACCGACCGCGAACCCGTCCATCACCGCCAACAACCTACCGCACAAGCGTACTCCGAAGGACTTCATCTTCGGCAAGGTGATCGGCGAGGGAAGCTTCTCCACTGTAAGTCTTTTTCGTCTTGTTGCCTCGCAATGACTATCGCGGAAATGACCCACGCTACATACATGGACGTTGAAATAAACAATCAGTGCGGTAGGCAACGTGTTAATACGTGTCGCTTTAGATATTCGTAGAGATCTGTTTCGGAGCGCGATTTCTGTGAGCGTGAAAACAAGCCGTACGAAAGTCTACAACTGGAAACTAAAACTGAGCTATGTGTGTTTAGGTTTACCTTGCCAAAGACATCCACAGCAGCAAGGAGTACGCCATCAAGGTGTGCGACAAGCGTCACATAATCAAGGAGAAGAAGACCGAGTACGTGAAGCGTGAGAAGGAGGTGCTGAACATGCTCGCGAGCGCCAAGCACTCGTTCGTGCGCCTGTTCTGCACCTTCCAGGACGTGGAGAGACTCTATTTTGTCCTGTCGTACGCTAAGAACGGCGAGCTCCTGCCCTACATCAACAAGGTGGGCTCCTTCGACATCGAGTGCACCAAGTTCTACTCGGCGGAGATCCTGCGGGGTCTCGAGTACCTGCACGGACTCGGCATCATTCACCGGGATCTCAAGCCGGAGAACATCCTGCTGGACGAGAAGATGCACGTGCTCATCACCGACTTCGGCAGCGCCAAGATCCTCAAGGAAGATCCGGAGACGGTAATGACGCATCCTGCCTCGGACGACGCACAGCAGCAAGAGCGATACTGCAGGGAACGCAGGGGCTCCTTCGTTGGTACCGCTCAATACGTGTCACCCGAGCTACTGATCGAAAAAAAGGCGAGCAGGGCGTCCGATCTCTGGGCTCTGGGCTGTATCGTCTACCAGATGGTCGCCGGCCTGCCACCCTTCCGCTCCAGGAGCGAGTACATGATATTCCAGAAGATCCTGAAACTCGAGTACGAGATACCGGACGGTTTCTGCGAGCTGGCGAGATCTCTCGTCAGCCAGCTGCTGGTCCTGGAGCCATCGGGACGATTGGGCGCCCAGGACGAGCACGGCGCCGGTTACCCCAGCATCAGGGCGCATCCCTTCTTCGAGGGTGTCGACTTCGAGACCCTCCACGAGCAGACACCGCCGCCGATCTATCCGTATCTACCTGGCACGTCGGAGCACGAGGAGCTTAGGTCGCAGTACAGGGTGCCAGATAACCTCGAACCCGGTCTTGACGACAAGCAGCTCACCAGACTCCTCGGGTTGGGCATCGGCGAGGACACTGACGATGACGACGACACTACTACCGGCACCGGCGCGGAGCAGCACGCCGCCAAGCCTGTCAGCAAGACCGCAGTTGTGGAGAACCCGAGGCGGCGGACCAACACCGACGGCAACATTGCCGATATGACGCCGGAGGAGGTCAGGAGACGGCTGGAGTCGCAGCACGCGAGTCCGTGGCACGAGTTCGTCAAAGACAATCTCATAGTGAAGCAGGGTTTCGTCAACAAGAGGAAGGGCCTCTTCGCCAGGCGGAGAATGCTCCTGCTCACCACCGGACCACACTTATTCTATGTCGACCCAATCAGTAAGGAGCTCAAGGGCGAGATACCCTGGAGTCCCGAGCTGAGGGTCGAGCCGAAGAATTTCAAGATCTTCTTCGTCCATACGGTAAGCAGCCTCTCGTGATCTCTCGTCATCAAAATCATGATCGTTTCTTTAGTTATTTCCGTAATCATCGAGTATATCTCGAGATCTCGCGAACCGTCCCGTCCTTTTGTATCGTACAAGACACTTGGGAGTAGCGCACACGTGTAAATTTCGGACTTGTGTTTACAGCCAAACAGGACATACTATCTCGAAGATCCCGAGGGATTCGCATTGGAGTGGTGCAAAGCTATCGAGGAGATGCGAGTCCACTATTACGGCCTGCAGGAGACCGCCGCTTAAAGACAGAAAGAGGCGCGCTCGAGTGATCCGATAGACAGAAGAAAGTGACGAGCAACAATGGTAAAGTCCGCGAGTGGCGATCGCTATGCCGGTCCGTATCTGACGAGAGGAGATGGCGAAATTGAATGTTCGCCAGCTTAGCCGATTGTGTAAAGTAGATTAGTAGACTTATCGTGCGCGCCGCATACTCGCGCGCTCTGTACAGTTTAGGGCAAATTCTTTAGGCAAATTACCGCAAAAAATCGCGGAACCTCCGTCGGAGTAACCATCGTCGTGCGGTGACTTACTATTACTTACGTTTGCTATTTATTTCGTCGATACTTTAGGTAGAAAAACGGGAGAATCGCAATTATTCGCGCGTGAATCGCACGACGCACGCGCGGAAAGACGAAGGAGGACAAAAACGGAGGATTAGAGAAATTTTTAGCCAAGGCTTCTCCGACGCTGCGTGGCTGTACTCGCGCAGCGTCTGCTACTACTGCTGCTGCTGCTGCTGCTGCTGCTGCCGTGTGACGTAACACGCGTGTGTGAGATCGAGGTCGCCTGGGGCAAAGAAAAATAAAGTCCGCGCACCCGTAAATTTCCATGTTTACAGTTCTGGCGATACGAAGCGCAATCGGAACCTCCGCGGTACTGTCAAATCTTTTTTTTCTTTTTTGCGAACTCATGAATCGGCTTTCAAAAGGAAGTTGGCGGCGAGTCTCACCTCTTAGAAAAGGAGGGAGGAGAGAAGACTGGGAGAGAGAATGAAAAAAAGACACAGTTAATTTCGACCCAGGCGTCTCGACCGTGAACGCGTCGCACGGAGCGCTTGAATAGTACTTTTATTCCTATGCATTAGTGAAATTCGTCGGGCGCGACACATCGACGCCGGACAACGCGACGACATTTAGACGGAATTAAAGACCGAGCGGGCGGCTCTCTCTTAGCGCACCAGTCGCCACGCCGGTAACTTAGAAGTCAATTTACATGTAGTAATATCGAAGTTAGCTAGGAAGAGTAAAAGGAAACCACGAAAAATGCAATGGAGGATAACGATTCACTTTGCAGCTTTAATGTAACGTTCGTTACGTCGCCTGCAAAGGATCCCTGGAAACTCGCGATGTTCCAGGCGATCTTTGCTCTCTTCGTGGTGCGCGCGCGTACACAACCAACACACACACACACACACACACACACACACACACACACACACACACAAAATCCTAGTATTTTCTCCCTCGTCACGTCGTACATCCGTCTCCTCTTCCTCTCTCCTCGTTCACCCTCGCGTGGCTCCTCTCATCTTCTACCCTCGTGCATATTCCCTGTAAATATTACACAGTGCGTCTCCACGAAAAAGGGCTCCAGGCTTCGTAAGAGCACTCGTGTAACATAGTAGATACGTAAGTAGACAAAAAGAAGTATCGTTGTCTTACCACGGTGTTTTCATCGCGCTTTAAGTTCGCTTCTCGTCTGGCCCTCGCGGACTCGAGCATGCGATCGGTGACTATTAAAAAACTGGCGGAATATCGCGGAGATGATCGGAACGGATCGGGATTGTTCTTTCGGCTCCTCCGACTCTCTGTGTCCGCACGTTCGTTTGTACAAAAGTAACCGTTGGAGATAAACGGGAAAACGGGGCACACGGGGGACGCGCGCGGACGACGGACTTGTTCGTTACTTCCCCCTCCCGTGTGAGAAAGACTACTACAGGATACGCAACATGCCCGAAGAACTTTAGATAGCAATACATAGACTTGTTTCCTTTTTTTTCTCTTCATTTCGTACGTAGCTTTAAGAAAACGCTAGTAGAGGATTCGTTTAGATGCGTATTTCGTCGATTGGGTTAATTATCGTGGTCTCCGTGTGACTACTAGTGCGATTATAACGGTATGATTTATTATTAGTGTCTAGCGAAATTACAATTACTATTCACCACTTTGCGTCATAATGATCCCTGAATGGCTGGTCAATGTGTATTACCACTACGAGTATTCATTTCCTCACCCGCGCCCTGCTAAATCCTTGTCCTCGTCTCCCCCAACCGCCCATCCCTCCCATCACTTCCTCTCGCGTGTACCCGTGATTTAATTGAACGGCCTCGCGCATCGTTTATTTATTCTCTTCTTACCTCGTTATACTTGCCTCGAATTATTTATTCTCGTTCTCCCCGTACAATATATTATCGCGCGCGCGCGCGTGAGGACCGTCACTGCGTTCGTATAGAGATTACAGACTAGTTACTATCGCTACCGCCACACTGCGACTATATATTTACTATTTATATTATTATCTCGCTATTGTACTATTAACTACTCCTACTATTTACTATTACTATTATCGCCACCACTACGCTGCATTGTTACTACGTTTTACTGCGTATATATATATATATATATTATATATATATTCTATATTACACGTCAACTATTGTCGTTAGAGTTAGCTGTTTCTAGGTAAAATCGTTCCCCTGTAAATACGTACCGCGCCGCCGCCGCCGCGTTCGACGGGATTGTGTAAAAAGGAGGAAAGGAACAGGCAGACATATCGAGACGCGACTCAATCGGTGCGACATCGCGACCGAGCCGTATAAGCCCAAGCATATGTATAATAATACGACTGTATGATAGACACGTGCGCAGATATATAATATATATGTATAGGTATATATATATGTTGTATAAAATATTTATATATACATACGCGAAAATGTGAATAGTAGTTAGGGAAGAAACTATGTATAAACGTTCGTAGGTTACGTCGCGTTTAGGTTTAATACGCTAAAATCTCTATAATCGGCACGGCTCGCTCGCGATTTCGCACGATTTCTCATTTTAGGCCCCTTTATCTATATCTATATCTATATGTATATATATATATATATATATATATATATATATATACATATATATATATATATCTTTAAATCTCTTTCAATCTCTCTCTCTTTCTCTCTCTCGCACAATGCAGACGTAAACAGGGTATTCGGGGGATGGCCGGGCAGCTGGTGGTCGCGCGCGTTGCGCCGCGATGTTCGAAAAAATGGTGATTCGTTTCGACGGATCGGCATTGTTCTCGCTGCCCAGTGGCTTTGTCAAAAAGACCGCTTTTGGCGGGCCGCGCACGGTGCGGGCGGACGAAAAATCACCGAGCGAACGGACGCGGCCATCGCGTCCCGGCCGGACTTCTCTATTCTTCTTTCTAGTGAGAACTGATCGCGAGAGAGACATACATACATATGTATCCGTAGTTAGTTAGTTTGTTGGTTAGAGTTAGTTTATCACGAGTCGCGTCTCGACTTAACGGCGTAATCTTTCTACCGCGAACGAAGAAGCACGCGTGTCGCGAAACTTTGGTTGGATGTAACCGCGCGCGCGAGAAGTCATGTATATTTCCGACTCTGAAATATGTGTGTGTATGTGTGTGTATATATGCGAGTATATTTTTTCGAGGACGTATAGAGATAAAGATAATATATTTCCGGAATATGTGTAAATATCACACGTCGACGTTGTGCTTCTTCTACGGACAGAGAGAGTACGTGCTCAATCCGATCGCCGATCTCGTTACCTTACACGCAACACACACCACTATTACCCATATACACATACATACACACATCCCAACACGTCCACACCCACACGTTAAACTTTCTCTTTCTGTTTTTCTCATCCCTTCTCTTTCCACACACGAGATAGGGTGAACGGAGATCGCGCGTCGTTTCCATCACGGCGAACTTTGCAGGTCCTACGTTTTATGCAGGCGTTGCAAACTTTAAGATGGGAACCGGTGCGCTTCTTTGCGAGAGGAATGGCGCACGTTCCTCCGAGATGGGCGAAGGGACCGTCGACAAGCGTTTTCGTCGCGCTGGTCGAGCATCGATCCCCGAAATTCCTCGCCGCCCTTCTCGGACTTTGCTGCGTCGGCCTCCTCTCGCCGTGTATCATATTAAGATAAATTAATTCGATACGCGCGCGCCTTTCTCTTCGTTCGAAGGCGCCGCGAGACGAATATACGTTCACTAAGAAATGATAGTTTAATTTAACTTAAGATTATACAGAAGTGTGTCGTCCGGGGAGATGTATACTTAAAAGAAAAGTTAACAAGAAATCGGAACTTTCTCACATCCGTCGCGCATCCCTTCGCGGATCTGCGGCTGGACACGCAAGCAATAACAGCAAGGCCTTGCGCGAATATTACTGATGCCTACTGTTTCGATACAGAGCAGAAACGCTTCAACTATTAATTGCAGTATTACTAAATGTATACAGATTAAGTATAACGTACACGCAAGTACACGACACACATACACATGCGTTTATAATCACATACAGACATACATACTTACACATGCAATGAGAAGACTTTGTAAATAGTTAGAATATAATTGGATATTATAGACGCAAAATCTATTAAGGATAAACATCAAATTTATTTATAGTAAATTTTCCGAAATATCACATAAACCTGCATTTCTCGATTCTTACGACTCTTGCCTGTCCCAACGAATTCCTTCGAACACATCTCGCCTTGCGTAACGTTTGCGTAATGGGCCATGAAAGACAACAGTTTACTCTTTGAGAAAATAATTTACATAAGTTGTATCGCGTCTTTTATCTGCGCGTTCGCTCTTTTTGCTCTGAATTTTTCAATTCTCGTCGAATTTGCTGTTGCACGTTTTCCTCGAAGATAACATAATGTTTTTCAAGAAGTCTCGAAAAAGAATAATTTATTTGTCGCAAATAATTTACATCTTTTTAATACTGTACGACGGCTTCCGTGTTCTACTGTTGCTTGTTGAGATGCGTTAACAAATGCTCCTTCAATCGCGGCATGTTTTTGAGCCGTGTCGCGCACACATGGCACTTAAGTTCCGTGGCCAGATAGCCTTCGCTCTCTTCAACAGAAATTCTTCGGATCTCGCTTGTCTCGCGCAATTGGCGGCATATATCTAAAATTCAATTTGTCTGTATACACATGCGTACTGACTACAACGATCATCCGATATTCTAAGTACATGTGTGCGTGTGTTAATCCAAACCTGAGGAAGGTAAGAAAAATGGTGTTGTGAACGAGTTCCAGTGGTACTTTGTTTTCAAGCAAGGACTGACGAAGTCTGTGCTTATCACGTGCAGGTGAAGTCTTTGCATACTCGGTATCGCATGATAGCCGATGCTACAAAAATCATAAGCGATATGGTAACGTGATTGATAAATTTGTAATTGCTAAATTACCGAATATATAAGCAGAATCTTATTTGCACTTTAGAATCGCCATAAGATAAGCGGCTTCGGAGAGGAGGGGGGACAGCGCAACATCTAAGAGACTCCTCAAAGATTTTGTAAATGACATCTATTTTAGACGTTTTTTTTATGATAATTTTCAGGTAACTTTAAGACATTTTTTCGAAATTTGCGCTATCTAGGCTGCTGCTTCTCACAACATTTGGCGCCAAAGTTTCGTAAGACACTCGCTCTCAATCAGAAATGAGTGTTTTAATTGAAAACTATTTTTATTTAAAGCTCAATTCCTACACATCTCGAAATTCGCATAGATGTAGAAATATCACGACGAGAAAAAAAATAAAGTCCGAAATTCGTAATATTGCCAAGTCCCACGTTTCTCTCTGGCGATTCTCAGACGAATCGTTTGATTTGGAAACGCGTTGTTGTTTTCACCGTTATCGCTGTTATCGCTATTATTGCTGTCACGTTTGCAATCCGACTCACATGAACTTGTGATCCGCGTATTTCTCCGTGAGACGGCGAGCGATATTGTCCATATGCACCAGCAAGTCGTAATGTTTTCCCTTGACGTGCCATATAGAAGGGATATCTTCCCTCGGTAAGACTAAGAAGTGAAATTGTGCCTTAGGATACTTGTCCTTAATAATAACTGTTTTATCATCCTCCGTAACCTTGCTCTCGGGATCCTCCATCGACTTGAGCAAACCGGCCGACCAATGTCTCTTGGCACTAGATGACTTACTCGCGTCTGATTCCATTTTCCGTTTCGTAGTCATAACTGTAAGTACAACTTGCGCAGGTTATTATCGCGAATATCGTCAAGTGTAGAATAGTCAACAGTCATGAAGCATAAATATATAGATATTGCATACGATAGAGAAATTTGAATGGAACTAGACCTAGTGAATGTTAGTCTCAGTTTAGAGTGCATAGGTTTGGTAATCCTGGTAACTGACATTTCCTGCACTACCCGATGTTGCAACGACTAATTTTAAACATTATTGCGATTTCTGGCAGCGCGGAAAACACTTTTTGCTAAAAATTATGTAACTCTTATAGCCTTATAGTATAAAATTAAAGGCTCACTCAATCTTTCGTGGACCGAGCTTAAGACTGTCATGCCGCGGATTGTGTATATACAGTTCCACGAATATTACTAGTATCGACAAATCAATAAGTACTAAGTTTTCGATAAGTTGCATCCGCTTCTAGCTATGCAGCGTTCATAACTATTAAGTGGCAATATATTTAAAAAAGAAGTGATATTTTGACAGTTTGATTTTTTGTATGCATTAATAAAAATAGTTATCCGCTCATGTATAACATGTAATTAGCAGAAAAGGTAAAAGAAATGTAAGTATATTAAACAAATTCAATGCAGTTCTAACATGTGAATTTTACGGTGCGTGAGAAAACATTTTAAACGCATGAGGTTATTATGCTATCAAAATAAGTAATCACAAAAAAATTGAATTTCCGTCCGATCACGCGTTCTCGAGTAAAAGCATCGCAAATTTGTCATGCGACAGAAAGATGAAAATCTAGATGTGTGCAACAAAAAATTGAAACTCATCACACTGTTTTCTTATCAATATGTCATCGCCGTAAAAACCGCAATCCCGTCAGATCACGCATTCTCGAATAATAAACCTCGAAAGTTTGTAATGTGACAAACCAGTGAAAATCCAGGTGTGCGCAAGAAAAAATTAAAACGTATGACAATCTTCTCCTATCCAAATACGTCATCGCCGTGGTAACCGCAATCTAGTCCGACCATACGCTCTCGAGTAAAAAGTCCCAAAAATTCGTCACGTAAGACAGGTATGATTTCAGGTGTGCGCGACAACAATTTGAAACAGACAATACTGTTCTTCTATCAAAATAAATAATGATCGTAAAAACTACTTTCCCGTTCGATCAAGCGTCCGCGAGAAATAAGCACTGAAAGATTGTCAAGTGACAGAAAGGTGAGAATACAAGTGTGCGAGAGAAAAATTTCAAACGCATGATATTATTCTCCTGTCGAAATAAGTCATCGCGGCGCAAACAGTATTCACGTCCGATCACGCGTTTGCGAGCTATTAGACTCGAAAGATTGTCAAGTGACAAAAAAGTGAGAATCCAAGTGTGCGAAAGAAAAATCTCAAACGCATGATATTATTAACAGTAAGATTGGAAACGGCAGATAAGGAGCAAGCACGGATGTCTTAGTGCTATTAAATACTAATATTACTTTTTAATATTAATATGATTGTGGGAGGATAAAATTGTCCAGTATGTTAAACGCACGAATCGAAATTTTTTCTTCGATTATCGTACACGGAGAACCAACCTTCCATACTTAGACCGATCCTTGAGTCCCAACTTTTATATATATATTTTTTTATTAAAATCCCAAACCCCATTATAAACCGATGACTTAAATAGATTCATTATATATGCTGCGAAAATACTGCCTCCGCCTAGACTCGAACCTGGAACCTCCCCACTTTCCGGGCGGGACGCCTTTCCATTCGGCTACCGAGGCGAATCTAGAGCTCTTTGCAACATTTTTAAATAGTTCCGGTCATTAAATACAAAAAAATAGACTTTTAAAAAAAGGTGCGCTAAGTTCTCGAAGCGCACTTAATCA